TTCGTCCAACTATCACCCCGCGAGCCTGTCTGATGTTAAAGCGGTGATATGCGTTGACGATGCTCCACCGGCCCGGTCTTAGTTGGTCTTGAGCCTCTCGGACGATGTGAATCATTTTTGATCTCGGGACTAAACTGTTCCCGACACCGCAACACACTTGTGGCACTGAAACCTCCAGATTCCTGATCCATCGAACGTAGATGTGCAGAGGTGCCCTCGAGCACGCGTTTGGGTGGATTCACAATTAACGTTATTTAGGTATTAGAGAATGTTATGAGAGATAACGTTATTTTAAAAACTTTTACGAAAAGTTATAAGATATAACGTTATTTTTAGATTTTGTTACTCCAACTAACGTTAAATAATTTATAGTTTATTCCGAGATATCTTTTTTAACGTTAACTCGAAAATCGTTCGAATTTTTAGGGAAATATTTCAACTAACCGAAAAGAAATGAGTAATTTCCGTTTGTTTCTGAATTTTCGTTAATGTTAAGTTATGTTAAGTTTGCACACCCTGTCTGGGATAGATTGCTCATGGCTGTCTTCTAAGTTCAATAGGGTATTCCACTGCTTCCCTCTGCGCGTTCATTGGCTGACTGGCATATCAAGGTCCTCGTTGACCAATCAGCGTTCAGGGGGGAACACATCGGGCAGTCATACTTTTCTCCTTTAGGTTCCGGTTCGCTTGCAGCGGAATACCTTATTCAGATGGAACTGCTTCTAGGAATATCGCGAAGCCTGTTACGCGAGACGTGGTCTGGCGTACATATAGCTAGTTTTCAAGTATTTTGACCCAAGTTATTGTTCAACCAGCATGAAACAAAGCTTTAAAGCTTCAGCAAATATAGGGCAACATTTCTGATATGACTGATGGTATCAAATGAAGTCAGAAAATTAGTTTGTTGTAAAATTACATAAATTTAGCATATTGGCAGCCCTTCTACACATCTGTCATGTAGCTTTTTTCCAGATAAACTGAGGGTTTTGGAACTACTACCATTCAATGCCTTTCAATTTTCTCTTTAAATAGACACCCAAGACACATTTTGGAGACGACTGCTTCCCTATCTGGACCCAGAAAGCTATGTTAATCTTACTGTTAAAAATGTTTGAATATTTAATTAGGCAATAAACAATAATATTAATAAATTTGTCATGAAATTTCATGAGACTCTTAATTTAAGAACAATGTTATTAAATTTAATTACAATTTCATTACACGCCATTGAAATTTCATTACACGCCCATTTCTAGTGCATGTTATGGCCTTTTCATAACAATGTTATTAAATTTTCATTACATGTTTATTAAACAGTGAGGAAACTCCCTCCGGCCAGCCGTGGCATGATACCACGTTCCAACTCAACCACTCTCAGGTTATCCTCGTGGCCGAGTGGTCAAAGGCGAGGGTTTTTCAACCCAAGGGTTCCAGGTTCAACTCCCGGTAAGGTACGGTATACTTATATGGTTACGGCCTGTAAAATCTGTTAGTTCGTTGAGGACTTGATGACCTAAGGGTTAGAGCGAAACAAATTACTTTTAGAAAGTTGTCATGCTCAATTTTAATGAAAATTTAATAGCATTGTAATGAAATTGTAATGAAAATAGCTTC